TGGGCTACTAGTGCCATAAAAACTCAAACAGAGATGAAAGACCAGAAAATATATATAAATAGGGCACACAATACTAAAACTTAATCTTTCTACACACAGAACACCTTCTCAAAGGAACTAAACATGATGGACAGAGACAGCCTGATCCCCTGTCTAATTTGTTGGAACAATCAACTTTGTAGTCTTACAAAGACATTCTGAGAAGTTTGATGTTACAAGGAAATCTCATTAGTGAGAATTATTAGTATAGAATTTTAAAAGAACTTGAGAAGAATTAAGGTCCAGCAGAGAGAGGAGGATCCTAACGTCACCTTTGACAGGCGTTCCTCCTGTGAACCCCCTTTATACCAAAACGCTGCCAATACGCCATTATACAGTAGCTGGAAGTTAGAAACACGTTCAGCGCTCGTCTGGAACACGTCAGATACGCTTATATGCGTCGGAGAGAAGTTATGCATACTTTCTTAATAAGTTACGCATAGGTTTTGGATAAGCTAGACGCCACGTCTACCATGTTGTACTCACTAAGCATACATCCACTGAAAACTGTGGTCCTTTCTAGAGCCTTGCAGTTGGTCAACAATAAAATATATCCCAGCATCACAGTTGTACGTCCGCCTGTGAAGCAACCTGGCTCCTAAAATTATATTATATCAAGATTAGTTCCTTTGTGAAGGTGTACGAAGATTATGTTATAGTGTTTTGTGCACTACTTATATATATTTTGTGGGCACAAATGAGTATTTCTTGAGAACAAATTAGTAATTTTATGGGAACAATTTAGAATTTCGTGCGCATGCTGTATCTCTTTTTTTTCTCCCATGTCAGTTCTGGGGCTCCATAGATTTACATTAAAAATGAGAAAGAAAAAAACTCTTAGTTACCTGCTTGAATCAAGGGCAAATACACTATAAAGAGATTTTTACTTATTTTTAGATATTTTTTGCAGTGTAAAAGCAGACCTAAAATAAAACATTTTTAAAAATTGAAGAAACTCACTAACCAGCGATACTGCTCTGCATGTGAAAGGAAAAAGTTGTGAAAAAACAGGAGCTCCATCTGCAAAATAGCATAAAATATATTTTATTTCATTCTCTAATAATCATGACTGTTTATAGTAACTTTGTCTTTAAATAAATCCCCAGTTCTCCATGATGGCTAAATCTGAAAATCATAAACATTTTACACATAATGACAGAGTGCAGTTAATCAGGTGTGAGGCTAGAGGGCGCCGAAGAGCTTACCAAGCCTTGGTTGATGAAGTACTCAGCAAAGTAGACCAGACCCAGAGGAAGGACGAACGGCCATAAGCCCTGCTCAGAGGAATGATGAGCAGAGTCAGTGAAAGCTGAGGGTGAGGATGGATCAATCATGAGAGAAAGCTGCTAACCTTGATGACGCGGCCCTTCTCCTTCAGGGTAAGGGGCCCCGTGCTCCTGTCCTCTGCTACATTCAATGGGAAGAGAATACGGCCTGTGTAGTTATTCAGTAACAAACAAAGCAAACGTAAACTACTAAGATATTTGCTGCGCACCAAGTGTACAAAAATCTATCAGCAGAGCCAAAAACTATGACTAACATTTTATTTATTTTTTAAATCTTGATTTTAGCTTTTAAAGCAGTTACATCATATGCTGGTGAAGATTCACTGTGATCCATTTCATAGTTATTCCAAAAAAGTTCAAAAACAATTCACTGAACCTGCCATTTAGTATTGAAAGACAAAAAAAATATATATACCTTGGTATCACAGTGAAAAAAAAGCATAA